TATATATAGGGAGACTGGTAGACACCTCTGGCTGAGCACCACGACCCAAGCCCATAGGGGACACAGTGGTTCACCGCTTACTTCCCTTGGTTTGGTTTACCAGTTCGTCTGTTTACTTTGACTGCTATCTCTGATCCATTTGGCATGCATTGTTGTTTGCTGTAATGTGTGGTATTTTTGTTCTATTTGGTTTCATGCTTACGTATACAGATGATGAATACAGGGCTTTCCAGTATGTTAAGCCGACAGTGGTGCGAGACGGGGCTCTGCGATCATCGTTGTACCGTTCAGATGAGCAATGGCTAACGTCAATGTCGGCTTAGGGTACATCGTATGAGTATTGTGAGTATCGTCATCAAACCCCGTGGGTGTCTAACTTCCCGCCCCCAGGAACAACAAGGTGCTTTTGCAAAACATAATCATGTTTGCTGCAGTCGGTATCCCATGTACTTGCTCTCCATATTTTCTCGTCACTTCCTTTCGGCGCGTATCTCCATGAAGTTTTTTTATTCCTTACAGGCGCGAAAGTACGTGACGAGATCTACGAAGCCTTTCGGAACATCTATCCTATTCTGAAAAACTTCAGAAAGCCCGACAAAGATCCTAAATCTATACCTGGCACGTACTATGTTCCTTCTACTTGACTGATTCTCATTTCACCTAAATCCCTTCACAGTGCTGTTATTCTGTATATGTGTGTCGCCCTGTTCAATCTGCTCGGTTTGACCCTCCTTGATACATTGGGACTAAGTTGGTTTTCGTTTATGATAGTGATCTATGTTCTCTACATCACCTCCACCCCGTATTTTTTTCTACCGAGTCACTTGAGCATCATTTGGCATACCGCATTTTTATTGTAAATATTCAAATGTTCCCTCATGCCTCTTTCTTCTTAACGGCGCTAGCTCTCTGGGTTGTTGATGTATGCTTTCGACAGGCTTTTCTTTCTCATGCCGGATTTATCTACTTATGTACGCATATTTACTATATTACATTATTGATTTCTTGTTTGGACAAGATCCATTCTCCATTCAGAAGGACTAATGGCTCGGTTTGTGTTTTCGTGTACATTACCTGCGGCAGCACAATACTCTCCCTATGAATAGCACGAGTTGGGGCATCGCACGGTTGTATTTTAGGCGGAATTTTTTTTAGCCACAAAGTGTTCTGTATATCAGGATGAGATCAGGGTGAAAAACCGGGCAGTTCTCATTTTTCACTGCAGAGCGCAGCAGAATTCTGCCCTTGTTAGCTATGAACCTAATTACCTTTCCTCAGGATGTTGCATTTCTTGATGTGTTGGTGTCACCAACCGAAGTTTCAGTAAACGAATCTGTCCTATTATCTGTATGTGTTGTGAACTGCTCGCTGTGTACTAAGATCGTTCAGCTGTAACACCCTTCCGGTGCTTAGCTGCCATGCCACCCGAAGGAAGCACGAGGGCTGGGATACTGCCATCTTGCTCAAGCCTAGACGGGGGAAGTCGAGAGGCAGAGGTCGGGTTCTAACCACGGACCTTCAGTAATTTAGTCCCCGCTCTAACCAGTTGAGCCATCTCGACATCTCTCGCTATGCACTCCCCTGACTGAAATGGGATTGACTCGTTCGTGCTATCAACGCTGAGTCACGCTCCGTCCCAAGCATGGAGTTCACGCAATCCATTCCGGAGCCGCTGTGAGATATGGCTGAGAACTGATTTTAGTGAAACTCTTACCACCAGAATCCCTGTAATATCTGACTGGGTATTGGAGATGCAGGTTTCTTCATATACTTGTGACAAGCGAGAACTAGGTCTCCTTCTTTGAGCGAACGAATGGTTTCTTGACATGTGAGTGTCAGTGTCGAACGTTCTCAAAAAAGGACCGATATATATATATATATATATATATATATATATATATATATATATATATATATATATATATATATATATATATATATATATATATATATATATATATATATATATATATATATATATATATATATATATATATACAATCCAAGAGTACGATAAACGAGAAATTCGCCTGAGTCTCTCGTTAACACCAATGTAACCTACATATGAGTGTAATTTGCTAAGGTTTACTCCACTTCCGTATTAAACGAGTAAGACATCGACGGAATCCAGGTCTACAGTTGAACCGTTTTTTAAACAATTGTATATGCTACGCAAATACCGCCCCATCCGAGATATCGAAGTTTTCGTCGATGGGACACACTGTCTATAAGGTTACTAATTACTGTGCGACATCCCTCTCGTTAACACGAAAGACTCGTCAATCGCGTATATTTTAGTGTTCGACTAGAACACAAGGTTGACGGAACCTCTGATGAGCTCCAAGAGCGGCTTTCAGCAACTTACTGAGTGTTGCTCTATTTTAGCCCTCCACTATCATTTTGATTGCCGTATGCGTACTTCGGAATAAGGATGGAATGATTCCCCATGTCCTTTTGTTGTGAACTGAACTGTAAACTGAAGCACGACCACTATGGAGATATACAGTAAAGGCTACATGTGGACAGAGTAGGGCAAGCCTAAATCAAACGTAACTGGAATGATCTTGACACTACGGACTAGGTTTTTCCGTTAACCAAGTTACTGGTGGGGTTAATAAAGCACAGACCTGACACCATCGGTTTGATGAACAAACTGATAGCGTGGCATGATTAACTTGTCTTACAAGCAACTTGTCGACTTGTGCACCCTCACATCACTTCAGGCTTAGCCTGACTATGTGGTATTGTGGGGCTCTCCCGCCAACTTCGCTGCTGATTCCTCCAGCTTCACTGTTGATTAGGCTGTTGGTGGAACCGCTGTGTTCGAACAGACAAACATAGGGCACATATCATCCACTTGAGCAATACAGTAACAAGGCAAAGGCTATGAGATGTCAACATTTCGTCTTCAGCCGCAGTACTAGAACTCATCAATTTTACATCACTAAGGATAAAGAGTAGTCAAATAGTGGAACGGAGCCAGTCATATCATGGGTTAAGCAGGTTCGGTTCTCAAGTCTATGGCAAGATGGCATGTGTCAAGGAATTTTGTGTGCACAAACAAGGTTGATGCCAAGCAATCAACATGGACGGACAGTTTCGCGGTGAAATGACAGTAAAATTGGGAACGGTTTATTGGGGGTCAACGCTGCATCTAGTGGATAGTATGGTTTCATCGATCGATGAAGCAAGTTTTCAGGTCTCACACTGCCAGCCATCAATCGATCGATTAGTCACCTGACTTAACGAGGCATCTTCAGAATGCGTCCGTATAAGCCCCCATCTGTTCTGCCAATATATATTTCACCGCAGCTGTATGTGGACTGGCACACAATGCGCGAGACGGAGAGATTGGGTTCAATATGTGACGTCCATCGGAGATGGGAGTAGGGTTTGTTGAGCAGCTGGGTACTTACGATCGATATGCAGTACGAAATTTATGCCGTACGGCTTATTGCGATCTGCGTGATTTGATCCTTCACCCACTAGTAAATTATCTACTCTTGCTTGAATTAACCAAGCAAATACTCGCCCATCAATCAATTCCAAAGCGCACTGACGACGTGTCGACTTTCGGCCACTTTGATCTCAGTTCTTCGTCACTGACCTGCTTCATTGAGTTGGGCACATGAGTCCCCCTGACCCCATGTGTTAACAAGTTTTTGGAATTTGTGTGTTTTCACTCATAAAGAGAACGATGCAACACGAACTTTCACAAAAACCTTCCGAGGACTGGTCCCATAAACTGTAGTGGCAGTCACAAATGTACTTTCGAAATTGGACTGGATGATGGTTACACATATAGTGGGCATTGTGCGAACCGGTCACGTTCTGTTACAGCGACCCGACAGCACATGCATGTCACAAATACACATGCTGCAGGAAGATGAAAAAATGGATAGCAGATTACGATTAGCCGATGGACTCATTTCTACGATTTGTCTGTCCTCCCTCAAGGGTATGGAAACTCGTTTTCATCCCTCAGTCTTCCATATCCCGGTAGACTGTCAAAGTAGACTTCAGTCATAAAAAACCAATAGATTTATCGGGAATTTCTGAGAGAGTTACTTGATTACTCTCCACAGAACCCCACGGGATTCATCTGTTCACAGTTGTAAAATTTAGGCAACACCGTGCATTCGTTGAAAGCGGTCGACATAGGTTACAGGTGTGTCTTGATATTTCCATGTTTGCTTGGGACTAAATGAAGTGGGAGTGTGAAATCTGTTATTGACTCTTATCAAGCGGATCCTCCGAGCTTACAGAATCCTACCGTACTTACGCGCAACTAGAATGTGCTATGTGTATGTCAGCGCTCTCCTCGATAAGTATTAAATTTGAGAATTTGAGGCTAGTGAATCACCCGACGGGGTCCATGTACACTGACCCCCCAAAAGAGGGAACGACTTAGAGGAAAGGGAAATTTTTGGCCCCGTTTCGCAAGAGGGAATGAGGGTGCTCCACCAGGTAGTGTATGAAATTGAACCCTACTTTCCCAAGAGGTATCACCCCTCTTTGAGGGGTCATCTTTTCGGCGGTATCATTATGGTGTGAAGACCTCTGTGACGGAAATATTCCTTTGTTCTGCGAGTAGCTATTTACCTACATGGCGCGGAATGCAATAGCATTCAAGCCACGATTTTTACATCTTTGTCTTAGGTGGAAGAGGAAAATTTTTCTCATGTTTCTTTGGATTTGGGAGATCGGTTTGAAGCACAAACTTAGGGGCAGAATGAGCTGGTCAACCTTGGGAGTAATCTTCTCTAGAGAAGCCTCGCATGTTAGATCTTCTCTACTGAAGAGATTTATTAGTTTAGTCATGTAGATGTTGGGACCTCCTCTGATATGTTCATGTTATGACTTAGCAGTCCTGTCCGGTGGACTCACTCAAAGTGGGGAGTTCAGGTTGAGTCATTCGAGATGCTGACAGATTTGGCCTGGCCAATAGTGGTCCTGCACCCTGCCCGCAGTGTCCAAATCTCAGAGCTGTACAATATTACAGCCTGTAATTTAGTCTGACCTACCCGTGCTTTGGAACCTGATTATATGCGTTTGTGATGCCACAAGTAGCGCAAAGTGGCACAAATAGTCTTTGACGTGTGTGTGTTCATGTCGTCTGTCATACTACCATCAGTGCTGATGCAACTTTTGAGATAATTACAATGCCACAACTTTCAGTCTCACTCCTTGAATCCCTGAGGTTAGTTTCAGAAACTGTATGTCCCGCAGCATGACTTGGAATTTTGTGGGCAGGATGTAAAGCCGAAAGATCGGATGACCTAGTAATGCTTGCGCTTCTCGTTCCTTTTCAAAGATGAGAACAATGTCGTCTGCATAGTTCAGCTTGACAAGGTTCTTGGTCGGACCGGGGTTTTGGAGACCTGTGTTCGCCTCATCACTCACAAAATTAAGCAAAAATGGATAATGGACATCCATGTCGGATACCATTGTTTGCGGGAATAATTTTGGAGAGCTCCCCATGCATTCACGCGCCAAAATAACTGTGAATGCAAAAAGCTCATGGTATTCGCGAACACCGGGAGCATTTTCTTGTTGCTTCGTGTATTCAGAAGCATGATCGGGTTGACAAAATCGAGCTTATTCTTGAATTCAAGAAATACCCAGGTTTTGGGCCATTGCCGTAACACTTGACGGGTGTGGTGTGATTCATACACTCGCTTAACGGCCGGAATTTCGCTTGGTGTCCTCGGGTATCGTCTTCACATGCCTTCGTGGGACGACGTAAGATAAGCTTAGCAAAGAGTACGGTTGCATCGGGGATTAAGTTAATTCCTCGGTGATTGACCCGCTGCCAACACCCTTTTTTGTAATGTACATCACTTTCGGCTCACCCCAGTTTGTTAAAACGGTCTCTTTCGTCCTTTCAGAGATGAATAATTTAGGCAAGCTCCATCATTTAACGGAACCAGTGGGGATTCGTCAGGACTAGCAGCTCGATGGCGCTTGGAGTAGGAAAGGAATTCGCTCATTTCCGAAGCCATCGTGGGTTCCAACTGCACTGCTCTTGGCCGTGTTGTGGGTCAGGAATCCAGTTGAGCAACTGAAGGTGGCAATTTGAATGGCTATTGAAAATGTTGAACGCAACGATTCAGGTGCTCTTCTTTTTTAGTTTCAGACGAACAGCTGGAATCAGTGATTGCTTTCCTCCTCAGGGGCCCATTTGGACCAGTTGCGGGCATCAGCTGGAACAGTTTTCGCACGTTCTCAGCTTCTCACATCCACTATCTCTTCAGGTTTCTGAATTCACCAAGCTTCTCGGTCTGCGAGGACGCTCCCCACCTGAAGTCTTACAGTTCCTGAAGTAGTATGACGCTCTTGATCGATAGAAGTACGTTCCCGAGCTTCGAGCAGTTTTAGGGTGTTGCTCGAATCTGGATGGTTGAGCCGCTCCACAGGCGGAGCGCTCTGTATGTTTTAGGGTTGCAGACAGTACCTGCGAGTGAAAATAAACATGTGTTGCCCGAAGGGGACTTCACTAGATGGTTCTGGTAGACCTGTTTCCGAGAGCTTATAAATGATCAGGCTGGGTGTATGCTTTTTGTGCGCCCCTGGAAAGTGCAGCAGCAACGAACAAACGCATGAGCTAATTCCACATAGATATTCCAGAACGAGCGACAATCAGTAACTGACCCGCGCCACCCATAGCTAACGGCGGTGTGGTCTACCTGTGTTGAGGGTTTGTTCTCATGCCTGCGCACCACGTGGTCAAGCGGCTTCGGTTGTTTTGGAATTCGATACTGCACGCAACCGTTGTGTGGTCAGTGCACAATTCACCAGGCTTTGTCCGTCGCTCGTGTACCTCGATTTCATTACAACGCGATGACCCAACTGAGCCTCAAAAGCGCTAGCGCTGCATACTTTCGCATCCATAGCCACAGAAACTACAACGATAGCGGAGCTGTTAACCCACCACAACAAGGCACTGAAAGCGTCTTAAAAGCTGTATTTGAGTGTATCAGGGCTAAAGTCTGTTGGGGCGTAATTAGATACAGTGGACAGGCATCGAGAGTAGTGCGTTGATGAATGCTCTTACAGATGTTGTCAAACGAGCCACACAAAAGTGTCTATCAACGAACAACCCTTCAACTACAAACCCTTATGCTCAGTGGCTTACGGCACGATGTTGGAGGCTCTAGGATTATCACATGTACATCCGTCAATACAGCTCAGTGGGTTATGAAGAAGCATCTTGATAAGGTCCGGTCTCTTCCCTACAGTTGTAATTTTCTGGACACTGAAGACCTAATGTCTTGCAATAAAGTAGCAATCAAGCAACTTTATTGGCTATATATTTTATTGGCTATATTTTAATAGAGGGTCGTGAAATTACAGGCGATTAAAAACGCTATTATTAGGCTGCCAATCCAGAAAGATGGGCAGAATCAGTTTAGCATTATAAAGCAGAAATACGCGTTAGAGTCCTGATTCAACCGACCTCCATTAACTCAAGCATTAGTTGAAGGAAGACCCGCAAAAATTCACGGGTGGATAGTGACCATTAGTGCAAGAGGTTGGTGTACAGAACAAAGCTATGTAAGTAGACGGATCAATACATCAGTAGGTGTTCAGTCTTATATCGCAAGATATCATACCGAAACCTTATTCGGCTACAAAGAATGAATCAGCAAGACGAATAAGTTATGTTGGGTGACCTGCGTCTTCGTCTGCTGTCACGTGGCTGTCCACAAAATTGATCCAAGGTTTTGAACGTCACAAATGCTCCTATGTCACAAATGTTTGTCAACTAATGCACTGCAACTGTGAAATATAATCATGTGGATATGTTCAGCGCACGACAGAATGTTTCTCAACAAACAAACAAGGCTGGTACACAAAGGACTGGAATTCACGCGAAAGAACGACGTGAAAAGTGGAGAGACACTGTCGTAAGTTCCTGGGGAAGAAAACTATCTTTCTCCCCATCTTTGATGAAGCATGAGAATTCTAAATACCGGCATCCAGGATCCAGTCATCTACTTTTCCCCGGTTTCGTGAAGCATAATAAATGGCACGATCGTGACTGGGTAAACAGCAATCATTCCTCAAATTCTGGTCTGGATCGGGCATCCAATGGCTGTTCGCCCAGTGAGAACAACCGCCATCACGGGGGCTCTGGGAATAGTTCAAAAGTGTATCGCAGCAACCCTGTACCTACTGTTCTCAACCGATTGTATCAACTGAGCCGACCCCAACTGCTTGGCGGTAACACGAAAGGACTGCTAAATCACCTCGAGAATGGAAACCCTCCTTTGTTAATTCAAACCGAGAGACGCAGTGACGAATATTCAAGAAAAATTGGGGTCACTCCCTACAAATGGCGCCATGACATCGTAAGGGGTTCCAAACGACTTGGAGCTGTAACTACTGAAAGTGTGAGGAAGCGGTCTAAGTTGCTAGAAGAGGCGGCAAAAGACGTAACCCCATTACGATCTCAGAGCGACTTGAACAGCTCATTGCATGGGATCAATCGTGTTCGTCAGGAAGTTAGCTACTGGTTTACAAGGCATAACGACGGAAGACCTCCCTGGTTCCCTGCTGGAAGGGGCGGTAATTCGAAAAGTCACCACCGTCATTTACAACCAACTTTCTCGCGGCTTCGAATTTCGAACCTCCCAAGCAAGACAGTTGGATGTCAGTCACTAGATCCCCCTCAAAGTCCTCAAGGTTCATCCAGATGTGCACTTAATCCCGGTAGACTACGAAGCCTCCTGGCGATGGCTAGTGCGAGTGTTCGAGTGTTTCCAGGTTCCAGCTTATCTGTTATACCTACTGTCACTCGCGGTGGCAACATGAACCATCGAAGAGTAAATAACTATATTGTCTCAGCGTCAGCAAGGAATGCTCAAAATTCGGAGGTTTCGAACCCGTCTATGATCTTGCCGAAGCAGGTTTATACCAGCCACAATGAGGCCAGAAAAGGAAAGTTTGCTTCGTCTGTATCTCGGCTATCCATACCAGCCGTAAATGAGGCTCCATATGCAAAGAAAACTGAGGTACATGATAATGGAACCGGAAAAAGGGGTCCATGTAAACTGGGAAACCGAAGCGGTGCAGGGAATAAGATGCCACAAGCTTTTCCCGTAAAAAGAAGCAATTCGGATGTAGCTGGCTTACGAACAAACGTTAAAAGCTCATTATCCGATTGTTACACGAACTCGAAGTATATTCCACAGCAACAGAAGGCAATAAACAAATTCAGACCGCCGGAACAGCCTAGTACAGCTGACCATATCAGGTCTAAACAATCGCCTTCTTCGTTGGAGCTTCAGCAATCAGCCTTAACCGCTGGGCAAACTAAGAAGGAACCTTCTTATTCACAAGTGGAACTGTTCAATCCATACCAGGAGCGTTTTGCTGGCCATAACAACTCCGTATTATCTACAAGTCATGCCTTTTCCAATGATGCTATTACCTATGCTTCGCTGTGGGACAAAGTGGCCAACGGGCACACAAGATCTGACGATGATAGCATAGACTGCCTGGGTTCTTTGGCTTATGGAGTCCACTCAGTCCGAGAGCTAGCCAATTATGATGTAGTGAATCTAAAAGAGGGTGAACTCCGGAAACCGCAACAACGAGTTAACAATACTTCACAGGAAACGCTAATCTATGTGACCGATCTATCCGAGTTGTCTGAGACACAACATTCTAGTTTGGCCAGCAAACTGAATTCGATTGTGGGCGCCGAGGAGATGAGCGTGAACCTAAGTTGGAGGACACACACAGAACTTGAAGCCTGCGAGGTTAGCAAGGCAAGCACTTGGAGCTTCGTTATGGAGAAGGACATTAGTCACATCGACAGTCCTCAACGCGTGGCCACCCTTAAAGGTGAGAGTCCGTTCTTTCTGCTTAGCGATGGGGACTGCGATTTGTCCACACGGCTGAACGGTGACAGTCCAGCCCGTCATATAATTCCGGAATTAGCCAATCGTTCACGTCGTACGCCGAGCACGAGACCTGTACAGACTTACGTAGTGCGTGATACGGCGGAACAAAAAGCGGTTGATTTGGAAAAGAGACAGATAAACGAGGATTCTGTTGACGTGTGTTCAGTGCACAAGGATAAGAACCAACCGCACAGTAGAGGAAGAACAAATTTCTTTCAAAAGTTGGGGCGGTCTGTGCGGAGTTTTTCCAACATCCGGAAAAAGGCTTCGATGTCCAGTTGAAACAGACTTACTGACGTTCGATCGGAAAGATCGAAAGTGATGCACATTGTACCTGCGCATCTTTTTATCTCCTGTGCAGACTGCTATTACTGTTGCACAGAACGTACACTGTAAACCAACCTACTGAGTGTGAAGTTTTTATGGCGAATCTTTTGGCTACCTGGGAAATACGTCCGCCTTAAGCACAGTCCTTAAACATGGAGATTAGAGGTCATTCTTGAAAGATGCTCTTAGGAAAGGATTTTAATTTTTCTAAGTGTGGCTGAAATGTTCTCCCGTACTGCAGGAATAACTTGGACTGGATCATACTACTCATCCGTGAAGGGCTTCATTCTAAAAAGGGTTCACTTTACACAAGGTTAATCACAAGGTCCCTCGGGTTGAATGTTTTGGAGCCCAAAGTTATTTGAGACGCATTTCCTATTCCCATAGTATTTTGTGCCAGTAAATCCTTGTGAGGTTGGTAGATAATTTGGCGTAAGTGAAGCCTTCAAGTGATTCACTCATTCATCACGGACGGTTGGTTTATTGAGCAACCCAATGACAACTGGATATAAACAGGCTTTTGTGTGCATGAATAGCGTACGTATTGCGTTGGCTGAAGTTTGATATGTTGAATTTAGGTGTTCAGTTTACATTCACATGAAAAGCTTCAGTGGTGATTGACTCGAAAAATATTTGCGCCCATTTCCATCCAGAAATTGATGCCGAGCCGGGAGCTGGAAAAAATGGTGAGTATCCCTGACTAAAATCGGCTTTCCTTTTCACTCTTAAATTCTAGTATTCTAATAGCATTATATCGCGCAGTTGTGTGGGGCGTCATTGATCCAGACTGCTTGTCACTGGAATTCCGGACTTTAACCACAAAGCATGCAAGTGTGTGTTTACCATCCAGGATGGGGTCGCATTGATCGTAGATTGTATGTGCATTCTCAGCAAGCCATCAATATATCGGTAGCGGTTTTACACACGTGGGGCACTAAAACCCCAAAGGAATTCTAATGTGTCGGAACGGGCGGTCTCAACTCTCCATGGGTCCAAAACACTGTACCAGGTGAGGTGATTTCTACTAAGCGCCGTGTACATACCTATTGACCCCAGCAATAGGATAGTACAAACGAAATACTGCCTTGTATCGAAAACACCTAGTCCGTCTTGAGTTTGTGCATATTTCGGTTGGCTCTTCACTTGACGCGCAGATGAAACTGATTTGCATGAGATTGTTTCGTTTTTGGATAGTTGGTAGCTTTGTGATCGGTAGGGATCTTGTAAACAGGTTTCAAAAATCGGGACACACCGCTGAGGGGTCATTAAATTGGGGTAGCGTCTATCAGCAATGCTGACCCGATGTCGTGCATGGAGCCCGGACACCGTCTATGAGCTGCAAGGAATATCCGTTTCATTGTCATTCCACCAATGCAGACCGGAGAGTCCTTCGTAATCACCTACACGTGGCCGTATGTGTGGATGGCACGACGCCTCGAACGATATTCCTTGCAAAACTAATGCGTCTGTTGGGAAATTTATAACCTTCAGAAACCAACCGGACCAGTAGCTTTTCATCTGCTACTCCTGTGCAAAAGAAAGCCGGCCTTTTTCCACGTGAGACCACCATTCAGACTGAGGACCTACCACTCATATCTAACGTGCTTTGACTGGGGTGCAATCAGTGCTGTTTCTCTATTGCTTCTAAGCAGATAACTACAAAAAACAATGACATATCCGTAATAAACTCCTGGTTGCGACATTCGAGTCTGGTTTGTAAGACTGGACGTATATTAGTTGTTGTCCAGTACGCTATGGTGGAGGAGTCAGTGCACATCATCGGCCAAAAAATATATACAAGTGGTTAACCTGTTGTGTCCAGATAGATGGAGGTTTAATTTGCTGTAGACATTTATCATACGTGACTGTTTCACTGAAAACCTGCTGTTTTCTAGTAATCACAGACAACATCAACTTTTAGATTACAGTCCCTTGTGTACTCCAGGACAAATCAAACAGTCGAGTCAATCGCCGCATCTCAGTTCAGTATGTGCTCTGCTTGTCGAGCTGGATGGCAAAGGGATACCGCTTAAATTGAAGTTTCGCCATCTACATTCAACATAGTATGCACATTTCATTATGCTAAATATATAGACATCCTAACTATGGGCGTTATTGAATTGAGTCAAAGGATTTTGAATCATTCCTAATCAGCGGCTCTGCGCAACCAAGGTACATAAGCATTCGTTCCTACTGAATAACCATTAGTTTGTTTCGCTTCGTATCGCTGGTGGGATCATCAGGAAGTATCGATTATGCATGTGGCTAAATTTGGCTCCATTACCTGTTAGTATGATGTCTTTCAATCGCGGTGCTTCAAATCACAAAAGAAAACTAGGCGATGCGACAGACAGGCCAAATGGCGTATTGGATTGGAACGATCGATCGGAGTGTATGTCAAATCCGCCCTGGCAATGCCTATAGCCTAGACATATACGCTGTCCGGTTTGAAGATATGACATTCTAGACCTTCAGCGTAACCATTACTTACGTTTCACAGCCAGGTTGCGTCTCAACTCTTCATGCGAACGTTCAACGCGCCGGTATTTGCGCATCTGTGGTTGATTGTCGATAGGCATTCTTCAGCTCGTATTGTCAATATCAGCTTGCTTGCTAATAAGCGGAAGCAGAATCCCTTTCCATTTGAAGAAATTCATATGAGCCTAGTCAGCAAAGCAAAGAGATGGAAGACACGATTAGCTGGGCGTCAGATACCTAACCATTTCATTCTCGAAGAAGAGCTACAACAGAAAACCTCTGTTGAAAAAAGTGGCGTGAGCACGAAGCTAAGTAGGATATTCTTCTTTTAGGTGGAAGCAAAAGCAACGAGTAATCACCGCAGAACTCAAAACAGTTTGCAGAACTGCCCGAGCTCCTTTTCCTGCCACTCGAAGGAGATAGTGCCAGATTACCCAAGTCTAAACAGGAGCAATTGAAGCGCCTGCGTAAGGTTTGAACCATGAACCATCGGGTCAGTAATTTCACGGCACGTTCCACTGGAATGGAATCTGTTTTGCTACAACAATTTAGGTGTCGCTGATGGGCTACCGCGGTGGATTTGGGAGAGGCTAAATTGCATGAATAATAGACACTCCGCTGACTGCTCCGGAAACGTATACAGCTGCCACAGCATTACGCCCAATGTCGTTATGCACCAGGAGTGCCATTTACTTTCCTGAAAAATTCTCTGTGATCACTTGAATATCTCTGGTACAACCGCCGGGGAAGTCAGATGTTCTGTCAGATGCTCTAGTGCTCTTTGGGCTGGTCAGGAATTAGTCATTTACACTTGGAGTATCAGGTTGGTACAGGTGCCTCAAAGGTCGCACGTACGAGAAAGTATTGTCATTTATATGTTTATTTCTGGGAGGTTGTAATTTAAGAAGGTTGTCTGTAGCCATTTTGTACGTACACAGAAGTGTACGTCCTTGGTCTTACCTACTTGACGGCTTGAGCTTTCTGCCTCAATCTGATCGCGTCTCATCCATCCATTAACGTTCTGACTTTCTGTTGGAGTAACTTAGCTTCAAACTACGCTCAAGTGTGGTGGCTTTTTCCCGAGGAATGATGCGTCGGCTTCAAAGCGCATGCAAGCCACTTTCATCACTGTCGGGAAGTGTCCAGACACGAAAAGTACATGTGCAAAGAAGTACACATTCCAAAGGTCACAACTGATACCACACGTTCCGGATAGCAGGTGCGTTGGTGGAGCTCACCGAACACCAGCGGAGTGGGTGTGAAGGTGTTCACGGCAGGAACGTTACCATTGCTGGAGACAACGGACAGGTGGATGACCATGATTGGCCTATTGGCCATCCTGTATATTTACACAGAAGTTCTGTATGTTTATCCTGACAATACAGCAGTATCCCGAGTTCTCTGTCTCCTTCTTATCGCGTAGTCTGGCAGGCTGAGTTCCGGCGTGACCACCCACCCACGACACGAAAATCCTTGAGGAACGACGTGTTTCAGGGTCTGAATATAAGATGGTTAGCCTCCACAGAGGACATGCAGATCCAAATCTTCAGTGCACTGACAGCTTTTCAGGTGTGAGACGGCGTCCGCCTCAAAAACGTGTCGGTTTATGATGAGATTGCTGCGCGAATGACTGCGAAACTATGGCGGTCTATAAAAAGACCCCTGCAAAGTTCGATTCTGTCGCATGCGGTTCACATGAGTTGCCATCTTAAGTAATTACCAAATTGAAAAATCGATTAATAGCAATCTTAACCGAACCAGCCTTACAACTGAATAGATGTAAAATAGCAGAGGATATCCTGTGAGCATACAAACGCCATAATTGGAACAAATACTGACCACTGAGCAGACTTTAAAAATCAAGAAAAATGCACCTATCATCTAAAGCAAGTGGTGCATAACAAGACGGGCATTTCGACAGCGTTCTCTAAATTTCTCTGTTCCCCTCGTACGGCGTCTGTAATCTGCGTTCATTAGCCCATCAGCCATCAGGGATTTTGCTTCGGGTCAGACGCAATCAACATGGTAGTAAACAAACTATGTGGCCTTAACTTTTAGAAAACATTAACTTCATTCTATGGTGCATGTAGGAGATGCAAAGAATTCACTTCTTGCGTCTAAAAAATGCAGCTGACAATCGTATAGCCCGTTCGGTCATCCTGGTTTGAAAGAAACTTGTACGAGTTAAGCAGGGTGTAAAAAGAATACTAAACATTTCAGGTGTCTCAGAACATGACCTACAAACAGGTCCAGGTTCGATCAGGTACCGAAAGTACAATCCACAACTTTTTGTACAACGACGCTCCAAGCGCTGTGGGCGAATTTTAGCGGGTTTTGTAGCTTACTCGTACTGGCATGTAAGCGATTTCAGCTCATCTGTCTGGCAGCTTCTGTGTACAGGTAAATCAAGGCTCCTCGGGCCCATGGTAAGAATTACGGAAAGACTAATGATCGTAATGGTTTTGTTAACAATCAAG